ATCCACATTTCCTCATATTATATTTATATTTATAAAGAGAATTATATATTTACAAAGAGAAAAAAAAATACTGTGATAAATATAGAACAACTTATAGAACAAAGATAAAATATCAAAATTATAATGAAATACAAAACAATACAAAAATATGGAAAAATATTTAAAAAAAACCACAAATATTAGTATGAAACAAAAAATCGCGCATAAAAGAATTCTCATATAAAGAGAAATATTCATATTGTGTTATACTTTGTAAGATGTCGATCAATCAAAATTTTAAAATGTAAATATAATGATATAAAAAAAAAGAAATAAAAATGCATAATAAAAAAGATTTAAAAAAAATAGAAGGAAGAAAACCAAAAAATCTTTTCTTTCCATTATTTGAAAAAAGAAAGAATACAAGAATTTTCGGATGTAATTTGATATGTCGCCAACATTCGATAATAATATATTATTCAATGAAAATAAGAAAATAAAGCAAATCATATCACAATCTTGCAAAGTAATAGCATTTACAATATATTTATATTAAATATTAAAGAATGTACAATAAACGTTTGAAAGATATTGATATATATTTAAATGAAAATATTTATTTAAAATTTATCATTTATATTTTTTAATAAAAATATAAAATATAATAAGAAAGCGAAGTATTTATACGAAATATAAAAAACATATGATGTTTTCCTTATCTTTCATGCAATATTATGAATTTCAAGCTAGAATATTTTCTAAACTAATGATTTTTCGATATAAATGGATACTTATTCCATATTACAATATTACAAATAACAAACTGTATCAATTAATATGTAAAAAATTATTAATTATTACAGAGAAACTAATAAACATAATCAAAAAAAATCTTTCAAGTTGATACTAATAATAATTCAATTCATTATTTAAAATTTTAACGATAAAATTTCAAATAGAAATTTAATTTGTATTTAACGAATAACAAATACTTCGAATACAATCAGAGAAACGTAATTAAATCGTCACATTCTATATTTTGTTATTCATTTATCATTTACATAACTATTCTTAATATTATTTTAATTATAAATTCTAAGAATAGAAAAAAAATCAATTTTCTCGAAAACAAAAAATCAAATAAATAAGATTGATAAGAAGAATCTTAAATTAATTTGCAAAATAATCTTTGCAAATTTGATTCAAAGTATTTGTTTCGATTAAATCGCAATATACATCAAAATATTTATAAATTTTTTATAATAGTTTCAAAATTCATATTTGATATTAATATGATATGATATATCGATAAAAACAGGTAATATAAAAGAAATCAAAAAGATAATGAAATATTCATAGACCAAAAAAATTAATTGTAAATATATAAAAAATAATAAAAAATTAATTATAAATAAGAAAGAAAATTATATTTCATAAATTTAATGAATAGAAAAAAATGATAAAGAGTTAATAAAAAAAATACAGTAAAAGAAATTAAAAAAGATCCAAGAATAAGTTGTTTAAATATTATAAATGAGCACAATGTAACATTTTTTTTACATCTTGATGACATCATACATGAGATTAAACTAAATTAAACTAAATATTCAAGCCCTCAAAAATAGCAAATATTTCTATTCTTATCATAAACTTTGGAATATTTTGTTTTAAATAAATATTTTCTTTCAAATATTAAATATTTTTTACTCATGTATTTTTAGAGTAAATCTTGCATTCATCTTTTGTTTTCATACAATTGCGTAAAGAAAATAAATAAATAAATGAAATAATCAATTATAAGCTTTTCGATAATTCTTAGAAAAATAAATGATTTTTGGAAAAATATTTGAACATTAATATTGCAGATGTTTGTTATATTTCAAATCAATTACTTTATAAATAAATTGTTTTTAAAAATTTTTTAAACGTACACGAAAAATATAGAAAATATTACTTTTGGATATTCAAAAAATATTTAAAAGATGTTGACACAGTATATCTTTAAGACATCTTAAATTGAAAATTGAATTTTTTTTACAACGAAGAATTTAATTTCAGGATTTGAAAAACATAATAAGGATCACAATCTTTGAAATATTTTCCTAATATCCAGAATGAATGTTCTTTATAAATTGTTTCTTTGTAAAATTTATAAAATATTGTTTATACTTCTGATTCTATATATAATAATGTTATTTCATTTTTATTTAATTTTTTTTTTATTTTTAGATATTTCTTTATACTTATAGTTTTATACTCGTATATTTATAATCTTATAATTTTTTACTTGTAATAGAAAAATATCTTTTTACGAGTTTGACAAATAGGAAATAGTAAATATAATTTTTAAAATAATTTTTATATTCTGGAATATAAATAATATAAATATAATATAATAATATAAATATTTGACAAATATTTTTTAGAATATTTTTCTGCTTTATATATTTCATGCACTGTTTTA